GGGGCCCGCTCCTCAGTGAGCCCCCAGAGAAAAGCAGTCAATCACTCCCATCTCCCCAGTCTCCAGCTGCACTCCGTGCTCTCCTTGCCTGTGACCGAGCATTTCTCTCTAGCACCTGACCCCGTGTGGAGTCTCCAAACCCAGTAGATCCCTGCAGTGTGCTCCATACTCCCACCCTCCACAATTATGATATTTTTGGAACATTTTGGACTTTTTACATAATCAAGGATAGCACTAGTCCAAATTTCTTAGCATGTGTTTTATTTTAATTTTAATTTTTTTATTATTTTTAATTAATTAATTTTTCCAGAGTGTAGTCATCAAGTCAGGTCTGCATATATAAGCCATTCAATGTCAAATTTATCTAACTGTGGTAACTCATTAACCCCATCCTTAAAATCTAAAATGCTCTACTTGAATGGGAGTTCCTTGGGGCAGATGCAAAATGTGCAATCATTACCAGAGGCTTTAGATCAAGGCAAAGCATCCTTCTTAATATTACAGTGAACAGCTAGAGGTAAAAAGCTTTTTCTCCAAAACAAAGTAATGGGCAACATTTTGATAACCACAAGAGAGATAATTTTGAGAACAGAACTTTCATAAACTTCTAAATAATTCTATCTAGACAAATATTTCCTTCATCTGCAAATAAGGATTATTTCACCCATTACACAAGAAAAGAAAAACTTTCTCCCTCAAAAAATACTTTGTCTTGGGGCACCTGGGTGGCTCGGTCGGTTGGGTGGCTGCCTTCAGTTCAGTTCATGATCCCAGGGTCCTGGGATCAAGCCCCACGTCCAGCTCTCTGCTTAGTGGAGAGCCTGCTTCTCCCTCTCCCTCTGCCTGCCGCTCTGCCTACTTGTGCCCTCTCTCTCTATCTCTCTGTCAAATAAATAAATAAAATCTTTGAAAAAAAATACTTTGTCTTTCTTTGAATGTTATTGAACCATGTTTTTGGATTTTGGTTTGGGTTCAAAGAGGTTATAACATTGTTAAGTGTAACTAACTGACTCAATGAAAAGATAAAAAGATATTGTGCACAAAATCATAATGAGTTCATGTTGTGAACCAAAGATTATGACTCTTCCAAGTCCATGTGCCTGAGGACTTGAGGGCCTTTCTTAAGTAAGAAAGAAGCTTAAGAAAGAAAGAGAAGAAATTTAAGAAAAAGAGAGAGAAAAGAAAGAAAAGGAAAAGGAAGAGGAGGGGAGGGGAGGGAGAGAGGGAAGATGGAAAGGAGGAAGGAAGGAAAGAAGGGAGATGGGGAGGGAGAGAGGGAGGGAGGAAGGTAGGAGGGAGGAAGGAAGGGAAGGAGAAAGGAAGGCAGGAAATGCATATGGTGTTAATTTTCTCTGAAATGGAGTTTCTGGACATTCAGAATGGTATCAAAATTGCATATAAATACCCATTAGCTCACCACTCTGTTATTTTTGGTTTTCAGGTATCAGTTGCTAGGTAGGATTAATTTCCGTGAGTGTGAACCAGATGGATGGACCAATGATATTCCTCTTTGTGAAGGTATATGTAAAATTGATTCACTAATATATTCAAATATTTAAAATATCTAAGAGTTTTTGAAATGTCTTACATTAAAATATCCTTAAAATTTGTAATTAAATATTTTTTACTTAAAGTATTTTTGTAGCTTCTAATATAGTACAGAATGGATATCTAAGCTTTTTATTACTACATTATTTTGTGTTTCATTAACCAAATATGAATACAGACTCATCTGACCTAATATTCAAAGTATTAGAGATTAGGAAATCTAAAACCTATTTTCCTTTCCTTTTGGATTCTAACCACTAGAAAAAACACAAGTATCAGAATTTCAGCTTTATTCATGAAGATATTCTCACCCAATAACCACCCAAATGCAAGGATCTCTGGTAACAGCTGAAGTGAAGAACATGATTTAGATATTTCTCCCCTCTTGTGTGGCAAGGGAGATTTTCCTGTGGTCTTAGTCTTACTGAGAAGAGACAGGAAGTAAGAGAGAACTCTGCTTTTTCTTACTGACCCATAAAGCAAAGCATAAGAATAAGAAAATGTAGATCCCACTTCCAAATTTTGAGTTAGTAATCTCAATCTCTAGTCATCATAGAAATAAGAGAAATGAGTCAGAATAGTCTTAATTCCATGGTGAGGAATAAGTAGAGGGGGAGAGGGAAAGAGGAGGGACAGAAGAAGGGAGAGAGGGAGGAAGGAGGAGGAAGAGCAAGGAAGTGGGGGAGGGAGGAGAAGAAGGAGGAGGAGGAGGAGATCTTTCATCTATGGAAAGATCTAAATGCTTTAAGAAACATCTACTCTGGAATCACCTGAGGTGTTTATTTAACCCTGAAAATTTTGATTACTAAAAACCTTCTAAACCTGTATCTTTCGGGAGATAGCCATAGAATTTCCATTTTAATTCTATCCTGGATGATTCTACTATAAAATAAAGTTAAAATGGCATAACCTAAGAGATATTGGAAAAAAGTAAAATCAAAAGGAGTACTTAAATTATTTTGAGCACTAACATGGAAAAGGAAGGAAAATTAAGGACAATTTGTCTATTGAAGTAAATAGAATCAGAAAGTTTGCTTTTATACCTTTTAGGAATACAGTGTTATATTATTCTGGGGCTTAAATGAAAATTTTCATTTAATTATCCCAAGCTTGAAACACTTGTTTGTTACTATAACAATGTAAACTGTCATTCAAAGAAGTAATTTTCTTTGTCCACTCTCATAGAAAAGAATGAGAGATAAGCTTATTGTTGTTGTTTTTTAACTTACTAGTCTTTGTATCCAACAGTTTTATCAAATACTTCTTTAAAAAATTAAGTAATTTCCCCAATCTTACTTTGCTGATGATTTTATCCATATATCTGAATATATACATGCTTTTTATAATAAAGTTGTCAAATTCTATTAGGAAAAGTTGTATTTATTTTTTCAGTTGTTAAGTGTTCACCAGTGACAGAACCAGAGAATGGGAGACTTACCAGTACTGCCGTGGAACTAGACCAAGACCATACTTTTGGACAAGTAGTACGATTTCAGTGTAATTCAGGCTTCAAGCTTGATGGGCCTGCAGAAATCCATTGCTCAGCAAACGGTGTTTGGAGTGGAGAAGCACCGAAATGTGTGGGTAAGATACACTTACCGTTCATGTGATTGAATGATTTTAGTTTTTCTCATGAAAATATGCATTTTCAAACATTGTGCATCCTGAAGAATATGAATAATACTAATAGCTAACATTTACTGAGCACTTACTATTTGCCAGTAATTGATCCAAGTTCTTCACATGTGTCATTCCATTTTACCTTCAAAATGTCTGTGATTTATGCTCTATTTTATAACGAAGGAAACTGTGGTGCAAAAAGGTTAAATCTCATGCCCAAGGTTATCATGGCATAGATGGTAGAGTTAAGATTCAAACCTCGATCATCTGAAACCGAAGTCCATGGTCTTAACCATAATTAAATTATGATTGGTTTTCATGGCTCAAATAGACTAGTAAGCATTTCTGCTGCAAGTTTTAATATTGGCCTGTAGAATAGGCTTTCTTTTAATTTGAAAATTGAATAATTCATTATTTATTTCCACTGATGAATCATGATGACCTTCTGTGCTTGAATAATACTTCTAGAAAAGGGTCCTGTTTTATATATACACAGTGAGTTTAGATAAGTATGAGGAACTGAATTGCATCCACTAAATAAATTTTTGCCTTTTACAAAAAGTTCTATAGTAAATTGTAAGTTAAGATTTCTTTAGTTATAATACTGCTATGACCAGTCTGATGATTGGGGCTTTTGTAATAAAACATTATGGTCAATTTATTTAAAAGTGCCATACTTCATATTACCAGTATTTGTGCAGCAGAAATTTCTGCCATATTTATTTTTTGACATATCTAAAATCTCGTGATTATTTTCACTTTCCTAGTGTAGTCTATCCAACAGTGAGATGCAGAGAAAAGCATTCCTCTGCTTAAAACCCTTTCTAACCAAACTGGTTCCTCAAGTCAGTAATGGTAAACATATTTATATTCAACACAGCAAATACTGTATGTTCTAGAGGTTCACAGAGGGGGTTTCCTTCTTAAAACTAAATTTCTGTGGTTAGTGAAACTTTCCTGGAATAACTAATGTATATGTTTCAAATGAAGTTGAGGAGGGGGAAGGCATACCAGTCACAGGAACATATGGAGAGGAATACAAATACAAGGCCGCTTCCATGAATATGAGGCTCCCCTGTTCTCATGTCCTTGGGGGCCCTTGTGTAGGATGCAAGTAGGGGTAAGTCAGTGACAGATTGAAGACAGGCCAGTACAAATTTCTAAGGTGTTACATGTTGTGCTGAAGAGTTTGGCTTTTACTCAGACTGAATTGGGAATCAATGGGGGATTTTAAATGGAGCAATGAAGGGACAAGAAAAAAGGCCATTAAATTACAAACAGAAAAACGGATTAGAAAGATGGGAGAATTGGATTTGGGAAATTTGTTATTGCTGTAATCCCAGGAGGAAATGTTTGAGAGAAGATGGGGTCACGGATGATGGCCAGTTTTTGTTTTTGTTTTTGTTTTTTTAGAAAATTTGAATGGATAGTGATGCTACAAAAACCAATCAGTTACTTTTCAAAGGTGTTAGAACTTTTGTTTGGTTGACTGGTTTACCTAATGGAAACATAATTTGTGTCTTTAATCTAAAACTATGTCTTAGACAAGGCCCTTTAATATATAACAAACATTTTGGAATTTAATCCCTTATATTTAGAAATTTCCTGCCAAGAGCCAGAAATTGTAAATGGACAGTCTACATCTCAGAAGAAAACTTACAGAGAAAATGAACGACTTCAATATAAATGTAACAAGGGTTATGAATACAGTGATAGAGGAGATGCTGTATGTACTAAATTTGGATGGACTCCAAGTCCTTCATGTAGAGGTAATGTTATATTTCTTTTCTATACATTTTGCTGTATATTTTATAAATTGTTTTCATTCATATACTCCTTAGAGTTAAGCAATTTATTTTTTCTCACAATGGAGTATTAATGTTTACAGGGATCAACTATTATAAAGACAATATACTTAACATTTTGTGTGCAAGGTCCATTTTGAGAGCAATTAGTATAATTCTCTCATTCTGAAGATAGACGTAAAAGGACCAAAAACGTTCAATAGCTCATTAAACAGTTGGTCTGTGGTCAAAAAGCAAGTCTAGAGCAGAGCCAGGGTTGTAATAGGCTTCCTAATTCCCAGGTATATACAGTTCCCAGATTGCTCTTGTAAAGCCTAGCATTTAGCTATAAAAAGTAAATTATATTAATACCAGATGAGGAAACCCTCCATTGACAATGGAATTAAGTGGAAATAACTGGAGATTTCATTAACCACAGACCTAATATGAATCAACAGTGATGATGATGCTGGGAAAAAAACAAAAACTCTTTTAGGCTTCAGAATGGAAGGATGTTGTACAGAGCTAGAATCCATCTCACCTATGTTTGGTGCCCACCAAAAGTCTGGAATATTGTGTTCTACTTAGCCCACCTCATTTTAAAAGAGATGGTTTCAAACTATCGTGACCTAAAAGAGAGAATGTAGATAGTTGAGTTTAAGAAATCATATCATGAGAAGAATAGCAAGAAGATACAGTTATAGCATGGTAACAACTATGTTGAGATATTTGCAAACATTTATGGAAAAGAGTGAGTCAACTTCTGTTGAGGTCTGCAGCAGTGAGTGAAACAAGTAACAAGTGCTATCATACATGAAATCAGAGGTCAAGTGCCTTTCTAAAAGGGTGAGTTTTACAGATATTGTCATACTGTGGGCCAGGGTGGTGGGGAAATGGTGAGAAGAGTTGAACTCTTAAGAGCCCTCTGAACTTTTAATCATATGATTCATAATTACATGTATAAACCTTGTTTAATAATCCTCTTTTATAATAACTAGAGTTATTATAAAATAACTAGAGTTAGCTTTTGAGTCGATTTTATTCTTTTTAAAAAAATTTGGTTGAATTATATGTTAAAAAAAAAGATGATAGGGTGCCTGGGTGGCTCAGTTGGTTAAGCGACTGCCTTCGGCTCAGGTCATGATCCTGGAGTCCCTGGATCGAGTCCCGCATCGGGCTCCCTGCTCAGCAGGGAGCCTGCTTCTGCCTCTGACCCTCCCCCCTCTCATGTGCTCTCTCTCTCTCATTCTCTCTGTCTCAAATAAATAAATAAAATCTTTAAAAAAAAAAAAGATGATAGCAGGAAGGGAAAAATGAAGGGGGGAAATCGGAGGGGGAGATGAACCATGAGAGACTATGGACTCTGAGAAAAAAAAACTGAGGGTTCTAGAGGGGAGGGGGTGGGGGGATGGGTTAGCCTGGTGATGGGTATTAAAGAGGGCACATACTGAATGGAGGACTGGGGTGTTATACATGAACAATGAATCATGGAACACTACATCAAAAACTAATGATGTAATGTATGGTGATTAACATAACATAATAAAAAAAATACAAAAAAAAATTTGGTTGACTTTTTATAATTTTAAGTAAGCTCTATACTCAACATGGGGTTTGAACTCACAACCCTGAGATCATGTGTCACATGCTCTGTCGACTGAGCCAGCCAGGCACTCCCTCCACCAAAAAAAAAAATTTGGTTGAGTCCACAAACTCAAGAGCTCCTTGGAAAATACATCCTCCTACAATTGAGTGACCTTCACTTTCAGACATTATTAAGAATATTCTACAAAGAGGTTAATGAACATAGAACAGTGATCACTCACGTTAGATCCATGTTCAGCTGGTGATGTGTAGAATTCAGCTGTTTGTCTTCATGGCAGTCACGGTTCCTACACAAAGAACGTGGGTGCACAAGTCCTCTGGCATTAACTTCTGCCATATGTTGTACTTCCAGAGCCCCACTTAAATATTTAGATTGTTAAATTATCCATCCAGTCATCAAAATATAACTTATAAACCATTTATTTTGTATCAGTCCCCTTGTCCTGTATAAACATTAGAATAAATCATCATTCCAAGTGTCAATGAACATTAGAATAAATCATCATTCCAGGTTTCAATGAAGTTACCTACTTCAAGGTAAGACCTCAGAATCTGAATTCAATTTTGCTTTGACATAAGTTAAAGTTTATTTCCTGTTTATGCTCACTTCCAGTGTAGGTCTGAAGGGACTCTGCTCATTATATTAACTGTAAGAATCAAGGGATAGAGACATCATCTTTCCATGGCTTTCCTTAATCACTGCAACTATGGAGAAGAGAACATAAAAAATCATAAAATGGCTTTTAAAACTTCCTCCCTGAAGGGAAACATGTTACTTCACTCATTTCATTGTCTTATGCAAATCATAGGGCCATGTCTACCTCAAATGGGTAGGGATATGCAATCCTACCAAGTGTCTGGAAGGAAGAAACTTGGATGAGAACCACAGATGCCAAGGAAGTTGAAGAATCATTGGAAAGAATAGTCGAAGTGATATGTCATGAATTTATTGCCACATATGGGATATAATGATGTATGCAATGGCTTTGGAGAAAGAGGATTCAATAGTCCAGGGGGCACAGATATATCATATGAGACTTATAGTGGTAGGACATGAGTGATATGGTGGGAAGGATATGAGACTATACTCATTTTAATCCCCTTTTGTGCTGGGATAGGGACAAAAAAATAATATCCACCACCTTTATTTTTATGTACTTGATTATTTTAATGGATATATTTAATGGCTACATTATCCACATGTCCTTTTTTTTTTTTTTCCCAGAAGTAGCATGTACTTCTCCTTATATTCCAAATGGTGTCTACAGACCTCAAGCCATCCAATACAGAACGGGAGATGAAATCACATATTACTGTAAAAGTGGCTTTTATCCTGCGACCCATGTAAATACGGCAACATGTACTAGTACAGGCTGGCAACCTCCTCCAAGATGTACTTGTAAGTTCCATTCATATCTTGACCTACTTCTTAATTCTGAAGTTACTGTCTCTTAAACAACAACAACAAAAATGGGGACACAATAAATCCAAATATTTGCCTTACCGTGTATGTAAAGAAGAGGCTACAGAGACATTCTTTTCTCTTCAAAGTAGACAATTTTTTTTTTAAGATTTTATTTATTTATTTGACAGAGAGAGACACAGCGAGAGAGGGAACACAAGCAGGGGGAGTGGGAGAGGGAGAAGCAGGCTTCCCACCGAGCAGGGAGCCCGATGTGGGGCTCGATCCCAGGACCCTGAGATCATGACCAGAGCCAAAGGCAGATGCTTAATGACTGAGCCACCAGGTGCCCCAAAGTAGACAATTCTAAGCAGGATCAAAAACATGGTTTTGAATATTAAAAATGCTTTACTTTTTGCTATTTAATGTTAAATATGCATGTGTATGAACATAGATTTCTCTAATTTAATTCTAATATCTGAACTAAAACATTCAGTAAGACTAGTGTCATCTAACACCTAATGTGTTATTTATTTAGGTGTAACAAATTTCCCTCAAAATATATTGGCTTCAAACAACAAACTTTTATCACCTCAGAGTTTCTATGGGTCAGGAATTTGGGAGTGGCTTAACTAGCTAGTTCGGAGCCAGACACTTCTTGTGTTGTAGTCAAGATGTTGACCTAGGCTACAGTCACGTGATGGCTGGGCTGGGCTGGAGGACTGCCTCTAAGATGGCTCACTCATCAGGTTTTTGGCAGGAAGCCTCAGTACCTTACTGCATGGGCATCTCCATAGGCTACTTATAGAGCAGCTAGCTTTCTCCAGAGCTTGTGATCTGAGAGAGAGAGATGGAACCCACTTACAAACTAGTCATGCATTGTCTTTTTAGCCATATCTAGTCTTTAGAAGTGAGTCTTTAAGTCCAGCATACTCAAGGGGAGGAGAATTAGGCTCCACATTTTGGAGGGAGGAGAAGGCACTGTAGAATTTTCTAAAGCCATCCCATGTAGCAAAATGCCACTCAATTCAACAAGATACTGTATTTTATTTCTGGGGGGTGTTTCCTCTGCCCTTTTCTGTCTCCATTATTATATTCCTTTTCTTTACATATTGCAGTTGGTTGTAAAGGTATACCACACTTAAACTGGATAATACATGAATAAAAAATGTAATGATGCAAATAATAGGTCAGTGGTCTTGATATTAATTCTAGGCATAAGTCCGAAATGAATTTTCAAATCAAAAGACCCTTAAAGAAGATCCCATCGTCAGTATGAAACAGACTTCAATGTGTAAAACAATTATAATGAAAATATTGATTGATTGAGATGTAATTGACATATAACATTATCTTAGTTTTTTTTTTTAAAGATTTATTTATTTATTTGAGAGAGCGAGAATGAGAGAGAGAGAGCACATGAGAGGGGGGAGGGTCAGAGGGAGAAGCAGGCTCCTCGCCAAGCAGGGACCCCGATGCGGGACTCGATCCAGGGACTCCAGGATCATGACCTGAGCCGAAGGCAGCCGCTCAACCAACTGAGCCACCCAGGCGCCCAACATTATCTTAGTTTTAAGTGTGCAACACGATTTGATATTTGTATATACTTTGAAATAATTACAAACACAATTCTAGTTAAATCCATCACCACACATACTTATAAATTTTTTTCCTTGTTAGATAAACTTTTAAGATCTACTCTTTTAACAACTTTCAAATATACAATGTGGTATTAATAACTAGAGTCACCAGGCAGTACATTACATCCCTGTAATTTAATTATTTTATTACTGGAAGTTTGCACCTTTTGGTCCCCTTTGCCCATTTTTCCCACCCCCATGCCTTGCCTCTAGCAACCACCAATCTATTCTCTTTATCTAAGATTTTGGTATATTCAGATTCTAAGTATAGCTCATATGGTATTTTTCTTTGATTTATTTCACTTAGCATATTGCCCTCAAAGTCCATCCATGTCGTCACAAATGGCAATATTTCCTTCTTTTTTGACTGAATAGTTTATATATATGTCACATTTTCCTTATGCGTTCATCGAGCAATGGACACTTAGATTGCTTCCATATCTTGGCTATTATAAATAATGCTGCAGTGAACATGGGGTATGTATGGCTTTTTGAGTTAGTGTTTTCCTTTCTTTCAGATAAATACCCAGAAGTGGAATTGCTGGATCATATGGTAGTTCTATTAATTACTTGAGAAATCATACTGTTCCCACAGTGACTGCACCAATCTACATTCCCACTAACAATGCAAAAATGTTCCCTTTCTCTACATCCTCACCAACACTTGTTATTTTTTTCTTTTTGATGACAGCCATTTTAACAAGTGTGAAGTAATATCTTATTGTGATTTCAATTTACATTTCTCTGATGATAAGTGAAGTTAAGCATCTTTTCATATGCTTGTTGCCCATCTATATTTCTTCTTTAGAAAAATGTCTATTCAGATCCTCTGCCCATGTTTTATTCAGATTGGGCTTTTTGTTGTTGTTGTTGTTGTTGTTGTTGTTATTGAACTGTATGAGTTTTTAAAGTATATTTTGGATATTTACCCTTTATCAGATATATGATTTGCAAATATTTTCTCCTATTCAGTAGGTTGCCTTTTCAGTTTGTTGATGGTTTCCTTTGCTATGCAGAAGTTTTTAGTTTAATGCAGTCCCACTTGTTTAGTTTTGCCTGTGTTGCCTTTGCTTTTGGTGTCAAATCTAAAAAATAATTGCCAAGACCAACGTCAAAGAGCTTAGCCCCTATGTTTTCTTCCAGGAGTTTTATTATTTCAGGTCTTACATTCAAGTCTTTAACGCATTCTGTGTTAGTTTTGGTATATGGTGTAGATGGTGGTCCAGATTCATTCTTTTGCATGTGGCTGTCCAGTTTTCTCAACACCATTTATTGAAGAGAATGTCCTCTACCCACTGTGTATTCTTGGCTTCTTTATCATAAACTATCTGACCTTATATGCATGAGTTTATTTCTAGGCTGTCTGTTCTATTGAACTATGTGTCTGTTATTATGCCAATACCGTACTGTTTTGATTACTGTAACTTTGTAATATAGTTTAAAACCTAGAAGTATGATGCCTCCAGCTTTGTTCATTTTCAAGATTTCTTTGACTATTTGGATTCTTTTGTGGCTCCAAACAAATTTTAGGATTGTTTGTTCTATTTCTGTGAAAAATGCCATTGGAATTTTGATAGGAATTGTATTGAATCTATAGATTGTTTGGGTGGTATGGACATTTTAACAATATTAACCCTTCCAATCCATGAACAGGGACTACCTTTCATTTATTTGTGTCTTCACTTTATTTCATCATTGTCTTATAGTTTTCAGGGTACAGATTTTTCACCTCCTTGGATAGATTTATTCCTAGATATTTTATCCTTTTTGATGCTATTGTAAATGGGATTGTTTTCTTAATTTCTCTTTCTGATAGTTTATTATTAGTGTATAGAAACACACAAGATTTTTGTACATTGATTTGTATCCTGCAACTTCACCAAATTCATTTATTAATTCAAACAAGTTTTGGTGGTGTTTTTAGGGTTTTCTGTGTATAATATCACATCATCTGAAAATAGTGAAAGTTTTACTTCTTCCTTTCTGAGTGGATGCCTTTTATTTCTTTTTCTTGACTAATTAGTCTAGCTAAGACTTCTAATACTATGTTCAATAAAAGTCGTGAGAGTGACCATTCTTATCTTTTTCCTGATCTTAGAGGAAAAGCTTTTTACTACTGAGTATAAAGTTGGTGTGAGCTGGTCATATATAGGCTTTATACATTGAGGTATGTTCCCTCTACACCCAGTTTGTTAAAAGTTTCATCATAAAAATTGTTTAATTTTATCAAATGCATTTTGTGCATCTATTGAGATGATGATCATATGCTTTTTATACTTCATTTTGTTAATGTGGTGCATCACATTGATTTGTGGATATTGAACCATCCTTGCATCCCTGGAATGAATCCTACTTGATCAAAGTGTATTATCCTTTTAATGTATTGTTGAATTCAGTTTGCTAATATTTTGTTGAAGATTTTTACACCTATGTTTTTCAGGTATTGGCCTGTAATTGTCTTTTCTTCTGGTGTCTTTCTCTGGTTTGGGTATCAGGGTAACACTGGCCTCATAAAATGACTTTGGAAGTGTTCCCTCTTCTTCTATATTTTTGAAGAGTTACAAAATGATTGGCATTAATCCTTTTTAAATGTTGGTAGAATTCACCAGTGAAGCCATCTGGTCTTGGACTTTTGTTTGTTGGGAGGTTTTTGATCACTGATTTAATCTCCTTGCTAGTAATTGGTCTTTCAGATTTTCTATTTCTTCATGATTCAGTCTTGGTAGGTTGTATATTTCTAGGAATTTATCCATCTCTTCTATGTTGTCCAATTTATTGGTGTATAATTGTTCATAGTAGTCTCTTATGAGCCTTTATATTTCTCTGATATCAGTTGTATGTATCCTCTTTCATTTTTGATTATATATATATATATCATTTCTGATATATATATCTGATTATAAATATAATCAGAAAAGATATTTGATATAATTTCAATCTTCTTAATATTATTAAGACTTGTTTTGTGATATAACATATGTCTATCATGAAGGATGTTCCATGTGTACTTGATAAGAGTTTGTATTCTGATAGTTTTAGATGGATGTTCTGTGTATGTCTGTTAAGTCCATTTGGTCTAACATGTCGCTTTATGTCAGTGTCTCCTGATAGATTTTCTGTCTGAATGATCTATCCACTAATGAAAGAGGGAGTATTAATTATTGTATTGCTCTCTATTTCTCCCTTTATTTCTGTTCATATTTGCTTTACATTTTAGGAGCTCCTATGTTGACTGCTTAAAATTTACAAGTATTATATCCTCTTGTGGGATGAGCCCCTCTATGTAATGACTACCTTTGTCTTTTATTTCAGTCTTTGCTTTAAAGTCTATTTTGTCTGATATAAGTGTAAATACAC